GCTTCAGACCGCCTGCGCAAAGCAAAGCCTACAGCCTCCGCTGTTTCTCCCATCTTTCTGCGGTCCGAGTTCCTCGGAGCTCGGGGAGAGCATCTGTGATATTATCATTAAATACGTAGGAGCAAAACATGCGGAAATGAAATGAAATTTAATATGACATACTAAAAAACATCCCCATCAGCATCCGGCATAGGTGCGGTTTCTGATGGGTATGAGAAATCTGCTTCTTGGTATGTTGAAGTACCAATAGTTTGCATCCAATCAATAAACGGCGTTAATTAACTGTTTCAGAGGAGTGACCATAGTTCTGCTGCTCCTGCTGCTCAAAACGAGCTGCTGGACGTTTTACTGCACCTTGATGCGCGTCAAGCATTGACTTTGCATGTAAATTAGCTGCTCCTGCTGCCTCTGCTGCTTTAGGTGTGAACGTAGCATAAGACAAAATTATGACAAAGTTTAAATGTTTTTCTGTTAACACTCCTTTGTGTTGTTATTCAGGTTAATAAAGATGTTGGTTCGATCAGAATGATCTGATCTTTGGCTTAACTTTGGGGTCGTTGCTCTTATCCTTTCCAGGAATCTTAAAACGGTTGCCTATTTGTCATGTTCTAAAACGATGAAAGAGGATGACGTTCTTGGCTTGTCGCAGGTGAGCGCTGTGAGGACAGAGAGCGGATCTACCAGGACAGCTGTGCTAACCAGTGTCCTCGGAGCTGTGCAGACTTGTGGGAGCATGTTCAGTGTCTGCAAGGAAACTGTCACCCAGGTGGACATCATCGATCAATGCTGACCTGATCTTAACACCAGGGAACAGTTATAAGTTTTAATGATTCTTTGTCATGTTCCGTCTTTCTCAGGCTGTCGGTGTCCGGATGGAGAGCTGCTGCAGGACGGCCGCTGCGTACCGGTGACCGAGTGTCGCTGTGGGATCCCATCAGGGAACGGGACGTTAGAGTTCAGCCCTAAAGAGGAGCTAATTGTTGAATGTAACACTTGGTGAGGGCAGCTAAAGCAGAAACTGCTTTTAGGGTTTTCAATAAAACATTATGAACTTTCCCAATCCTTTCAAACCTCTGTATTGGCAGTGTGTGTGAAAATGGCAGCCTGGTGTGCACCACGCGTCCCTGCCCGGTTTACGAGCCCTGGAGCCCGTGGAGTTCCTGCTCCGTCTCCTGTGGACACGGACGCAGAACACGGACACGCAGCTGCCAGGACACGGAGGGCGGCCCCTCCTGCGCTAACACCACCCAGACAGAGAGCTGTGATCTACCATCTTGTCCAGGTCTGTAAATTAAAAGTCCCACGCTCTCATGATTCACCACTGGTGTTGGAGCGAGCTGTTTCAACCTGATTCGCTGTTCCTGCAGAGGGCTGTTTGGTGAGTGAGTGGTCGTCCTGGAGCGAGTGCAGCACCACGTGCGGCGGAGGGGTGACAATGCGAAACAAGATGATCCTTCAAGAGCCAGAGCCCGGTGGGGCAGAGTGTGTAGGACCTCTGAAACAGCACAGCATCTGTAACACCAACCGCTGCCTGCCTGGTAACACAACTACACTGAGACTGGGATGGAAAACATTTAGCAATGAACTGTATGAGACAACTGTCAATACAAATGCATGTGTTTGGATTCAGCAATTCCTTCAGACATAACTTCAGATTTTTCATCTGTAAGGACTACGGGAATTACAAGGATACAACTTTGCATTATTACAAGTAAAATTCATAAATTCAAGAATATGACAGGAATTAACCCATTTAGGCCTAAAACGCCTGGAAAAAACACCTTAAAAACCTATGGCCGATTTTAAAAAAT